CCATCACGCAGGTGGACGGTTTGTTGGCCAACAAACTCGGAGACACGGAGGCGGCCTCGGCGCTGCAAATAGCAGTGCGCTTTCCGGACGACGGAGGGGCCGACGAGGTGGTGGCCGCCATAGGAGAGCAGATCCTGGCCCCCACGGACGTCTCACTGTCAAACTGGACGGTTCGCCCCAGCAGCGGCTGCAGCGTGGTCCTGGCCACGCACACCGCGGGAGTGAGCGTGGACGGCTACACCCTGACCCTGGCAGCGAACCCGTGGAACATTGTGCGCACCTACAACGTGACGCCGGGCCGAGAGCTCCTGTTCGCCTGCCGCTACCGGCTCGGCACGGCCTCCAACTTCGTGGTGTACATGTCCGAGGCCGACAACGTCTACGACCCATTGTACGGCAGCTTCGTGGGCGACCAGGGCGCCTGGAGCACGGCCAAGATGTACTTCACCGTGCCGCCAAACGGAGTGGCGAAGCTGCACTTTGGTGCGCACTTCCAGGCACCGGGCCTGCCCAACCAGACGGCAGGAACGGTGGACGTCTACGGCCTCCAGATCCTGGACGCAACCCTGGCCGGCAACACGGTGGAGGAGGACACGGCGGCTTCGGCGTGCTGCTGAAGCACGAGTTCCTTGACGGAGGGGCCGACGACGTCACGCTGGCAACCCTGGGCGAGGTGCTGCTGGAGCCCACGCTCACCACGCTAGGAAATTTTTTGGTGCGCTCCAACAGCCAGAGCTCCGTGGCCTCGGCCAGCTTCGCGGTGGGGAGGCTTCCAGCTGGAGGGCTACGCCATGACCCTGAGCGCCTTCGCCTGGAACATTGTGCGCACCTACACGCTGACGCCGGGGAGACGCTACTCTTTCGGCTGCCGGTACCGGCTGGGCACGGCCTCCAACCTGGTGCTGTACGTCAGCGCGGCCGACAACGACTACGTGGGCGTCACCGGCACCTTCCTCGGCACGCCCTCGCAGGGCGTCTGGAGCACGGCGCGCCTGGACTTCTCGGTGCCGCGGGGCGGAATCGCGAAGCTGCACTTCGGAGCCTTCGGCGGCTCTATCCCCGGGCTGGTGCAGCAGTCGGCGGGCACGCTGGACCTGTACAGCATGCAGATCAGGGCCAGCGCCTTCGAGGGAGACTCGGTCTCCGTGACGGACCTGCTGGCCGACTCGCTGGCCCTCACGGGCTCGGCCACTCTGGACGGACTCACTGCGCAGGGCAACGTGGGCTGCGACCAGCTGCTGTGCAACGACGTGAACTGCACGGACGTGTTCACTACGGGCGTGGACGCCTCGGGCGCAGTCTCCTGCGCAGCGCTCACAGCCACCGGCACCGTCGCCGGAGCCACGCTGACGTCCACCGGCGCCGTGTCGGGCAGCTCGCTGAGCATCAGCGGGGCGGCCAGCGTGGGCCTGCTGAGCTCGGCCGCCGGAATCACCGGCAGCACTCTCACCATCAACAACACGGCCAACGCTGGGAACTTCACCACGGTGGGCGACGTGTCCACGGGCACGCTGACGGCCTCAGGCGCAGCAACCGCAGCGAGCTTCGCAGCCACCGGGGCGCTCACGGGCGCCACGCTGACCATCACCGGTGCGGCGTCCGCGGGCCCGCTGGACTGCGAGAGCCTGGACTGCACCTTCACGGCCACGAGCGGCGGAGTGTCGACGGGCAGCGTGGTCTGCGGCGACGTGACGAGCTCGGGCACGGTCTCCGCCCCGCAGCTCTTCGCGTCCAACACGCTCACCGTGACCAACACCTCCGACTTCTCGGACGATCTCTTCCTGACGAAGAACTGGGCGGGCTGGAGCAAGCTGCAAGTGTCCAACAACAGCGCGGCCCCCGACAGCGGCCCGGAGCTGCGGCTGCTGGGCAACCAGAGCGCGCGGGTCTTCCTGGAGCGGGACGGCGGGGCGCACCAGTGCGAACTCATCATGATCAACGACGAGGCGCTGGTGCAGACGAAGAGCCTCTCCACGCAGCTGTCCCTGACCACGAACCAGAGGAACCCCGGCTGCCTCGTGATCGCGGGCAACACGGGCAACGTGGTCTGCAACACGAGCTTCACGGACTTGTCCGACAGCCGGGTGAAGACGGAGATTGCCGAGGCCGACGTGGCTGAGCTCTTGCAGCTGTTTGACTCCGTGGAGGCCAAGCAGTACAAGCGCCCGGACATGAACGGGGACCTGAGGCTGGGCTTCGCCTCGGACGACTTCGCAGGAACGAAGTGGAAGAATTTGACGGGGACCACGCGGTGGAGCGACGGCACGGAGATGGTCACCCTCGACTACTCTCACCTCACCAGCGTGCTCTGGGGGGTGTGCAAGGGCTTCCAGGCCCGGCTGGACGAGTTGGAAGCCTGGCAGGCCCAGCGGGGGCCGAAGAACAAGTAAACATGGAGGCGCTGAGGGACCTGGCCGACGACTTCAACGTGCGGGACCCGCGGAAGCTGTACCAACTTGCGAGGCAGCGCGACCTTGACGTGACGCAGGCCATGGCCTTCGAGGCGCTGAAGGCCGACGTGGGCCGGCAGGTGCAGGCGCCCCGGCCGCGCGCGCTGGGCAAGTCGGCCGCCGAGGGGCCGAACGACCGGCTGCAGGCCGACCTCATCGACTTCAGCCAGAACACGCGGGGGAAGACGAAGTACGGCCTGGTGGTGATGGACGTCTTCACCCGGGAGGCCGCCGTGGAACCTCTGCAGAACAAGAACGCCGAGACGGTGGGCCGCGCCACCAAGCGCGCCGCGCGGGAGCTGACGGGGGACGACGGGAACTTCGTGGTCACGACAGACCTGGGCAACGAGTTCGCCACGCTGGACCGGGAGCTGCCCGCGGAAGCCGTGCACCGGACGAAGCGGCCCGAGGACCGCAACGCCATTGCCGTGGTGGACCGGGGCATCCAGACGCTGAAGAAGGACCTGTTGGAAGAGGTCCTATAGGGTTGTAGTGGATGGGGTTGTAGGCGAATTGCAAAAACACAAAGCCCTGCCCTCCAATCAGCCCTGCCCACTTCAAAAGCGCAGGCATTTTGCCGCACACACCGCGGTAGGATCGGCAGCTGCGGGCCTGAGCCGGGCATCGGGTAGGATGGCCAAGCGTCAGCTGGCCGCAGGGCAGTTAAATCGACCCGGCCACCAATCCCTGGTGTTATCTTGCGTTCTCTCAGTGGCACCCCACGCACACGCACACACACACACACTTGGTTTGATCTCGTGCAAAGCGAGAGATGTGCGTGGAGCAAGCGGCGCCCGCCTCGTTCGAGAAGTCTACAGGACATGTGCAAAATCCGTGGTCAGGGTCCCGCTCTTTAGGTGCGTGAAAGGACTGAAAAAATGAAAGAGCGTCGTCGAACACAGTCATTACTGCCATAACTACGGAAAAGGACAGCGGCATAGTACGCTGTAGGCCCAGCGCACAACGACGCCCATGGCAACCTGAAAAGAGTTTCGCCTAGTGATGTAGGTAGGGCTCATCCAAATACTTACATACGATGGCAGTGATGCCGACCCCACGCAAAAACAAACACACGCACACGCACACACACACACACCCACACACGCACGCACACGCGCACGCACACACACACACACACACACACACACACACACACACACACACACACACACACACACACACACACACACACACACACACACACACACACACACACACACACACACACACACACACACACACACACACTCACACACACACACACACACACACACACACACACACACACACACACACACACACACACACACACACGCACGCGCACGCGCACGCGCACGCGCACGCACACGCACACGCACACGCACACGCACACGCACACGCACACGCACACGCGGCCATCCCAACCATCGCAGCACACTTCCGGAACCTTCCCGGAACCCACTCTGATGACCGCTGACCAACTTTCTAGGGAAACCCCAAAAACATATACCCCAAAAATAGCCATCAACGAATGGGTTGCATAATCTATGTGGATGCTTAGGCAGCCACCCTGGAGCGAAAACAAACTGGAGGCAACAGGGGTTTCAAAAAGTGTGCCAAACGACCCAAACAATGTGTAAGGTTGGTCGCAAAGTTGTTTGCTGCGTGGCTAGAAGCACGAAACGGCCAAACCTTTGCAAAAACCACTTGAAATCACGCAAAGGCACCAGCCCGGAGAAAGCCTTCTCGTCGCAACCGCGTACTCTCAGGGTTCAAAATCGGCCTGGATTGCCATTTCCACATTCCCGCACATAATCCAACATACCCCGAAAATGTGTCCGCAAGGCCAGGGCCCACTTATAACAACTTTTTTTGGGGTATGTAATTCGAAGCGCACCGAACTCGACAGGTTCCTGGGACAACGAAAACCCACTAGTTTTGGGGGTATATACCAACTGGGCCTGGTAAGCCCTGAAATTGGGAGACTGAAAAGGCCATATGGTGCTACTGCTTTTCCGCCCGGCGCCTTTCAAAAACTGCAAGTCCACGCAAAGCCAAACTTGTACAGCTGGTGGAACACTTGGAGCTGGTTTCGTGTTTCACGGCATTGGTCGTAATTAGCAGAATCCACAATAAACACATCGGCCAGATCTCGAGGAAGCTCAAGCTGACAAAGACGCATATGAATGCTCAGGCTGGGACCAAAAGTCACAATTCATCTGTTGTGGTAATTATAGCAAACCCCTCAGAAACTTTACCCAATGGAATCAATGATTTGCCATGAACACACACGCCGTGCGCACATGACCCGAGAGAGCAAATCTACACAATGGATGCTGACTTTCAATGCGCCCTGGTGGTTGCGAACCAAGCACCTGGCTTTGCAGCGGCGCATGCACCTCTGTGATCCGTCGCCAACAGCAAGCAGCAAACATGCCAAGCCGAGTTGGGACATGAAAGCATGCAATGCCCAATGCCCAGCAAAGAAAACGTGGCCCCGCTGACTTTGTGATCATGCATGGGGCCTCGCCACAATCCTTCACTCCAAAAGGGCTGTGATGCGAGCTCATTTTCTCAAGCCGACCCGGTCAGCGCCGTGCTATGTGTGCAAAGCCCATGGGCAATCGGTGGCCCCCGTGGCCCGAGCGTGGCATTGCCACAGAAACCGCAAGCAATACAACTGCGCTTCCCTCTGGGATCGGTCCTCCTTGGCGTCAAAGACTCTCGATGTGTTGTTCGGCGGGGCACATGGGTAGCTGCACCGCCACCGGGCATGCCACTTTGTCTCCAATGATATGGTGACTTTCGCTGGCGGGCACAGCTTGGAAAGCTGCTCCGCGCTCCACCCGGCGGGCGTGGCCGGGGCTGGAAGCGGCTTGCGAGACTGCTGTGATGGCACCGGGCGTTTTCCTAGCGCGGCTCTTCGGGCCGCTTCATTGTTCTCCATTTGCTCGACCACCTTGGACGCGGCCTGCTTGTCATCCTCATCTTCTAACAGCTCCTGCACCGCTGCCAGATTTTCCCTGCAAAGGACTGTGTCGACTTGCTGCGGGCCGCCGCGATGGCTCAGAACAGCCTCAAGGTCAACATCAGCTCCTAAGACATGCGTAGCCAATGCCCGCACCATGCCCTCCACTGTTGTGGGGCGAGGGTTGTTGTTCTTCGCACTGAAGCGCATGCCCAGGTGCGAGATCAGCTTGCTCAGGACAGGGCCAGTAACTCCCGGAAAGCCGTGAGCTGCGGCAAGATTTAAGAGAGGAGAAGAGTGACCGACCTTCCGAAAGCCAATTTTCAAACTCTGCTGCCCCAGTCTGCAGCACTCAGCTGGGCTCACCACTTGGATTGCAGCAGCGGCCCACTCGGCCAGGTTGTGCACAACTGCAAGTTGCCAGCAGGCATCGGGCTCCGAGCACAGGAAGTAGAGCCGTTTGCCGTCAGCACATCGTGCCCACTGCAGTTTCCACAGGAGAACTCCAAATTCTGTACTCATCAGCACAAGCCCGCCGCAACTTGACTCTATCTCATCCTCTGGCTTGGCCGGTCTCTTCTGCAAGAGCGTGAGTGGAACAGCTAGGACGGACAGCCACAACGTCTGCAAAGCCGTGGTTTTGCCTGGGAAAAGCTTCAGCAAGGCCATCCATGCCAGAGGAGATTTGGAGAAAGCGTCGCTCGAAGGAGACCGCCAACTGTCCTCCCAGGGGGCGATATGCGCTGAAGGGGCTCGTGACAGCTTAGTTATCGCACCGAATGCAATGTGCAAACCACAAGCCTTCTTCCGGTTACAAGCTCTGACAGGCAAAGGGTGTTATTTCAGCCGGAAGAGGTGGGCCCGAGAACGCACCAAAAGACCCAGGGCTGATCATGCTGCTTCTCTTTAAGGGACTGTCATGATTGACGACGGAGGGGTGGAGGGGTGGAGGGAGGGGTGGAGGGAGGGGTGGAGAGGTGTAGGGAGGGGTAGAGGGGTGGTGGGTGGAGGGAGGGGTGGAGGGGTGTAGAGGGCCAACCTGCCAAAAACATGTGTTTTCTCAGTTGGAGCGATCCTTTTTCGTAGATTTGGGTTGGTCGCTTCCTTGGTGTCTTCAACGCAATGGCCGCCCCAAATCAACAAGAAACCGGTCAAGCTAAACCGAGCGACAACATCGTGATCCAAAAGCCTGGCACTAACATGTGGTCTGTAAAAGCTTTGCCGTCTGCACGACCTATCGTTCACGGGCACACCAAAAATCCAAATCTCGCCCGGGGCTGCCCAAACTGACATCTAAAGCACGATGCTGCAAGCTTGTCGTCTCCTCTTGGGTCAGGCTGTCCAAGTCTGCAGCTTGGAAGCTTGGCGAGCCGCCCTCGGCCTCGAAGACTTGCCGCTTGATAGACTTCCCGTGGGTGACGCCCAGGCTGTCTTCAGGAAGCTTCTGAAGGGGCGGGCGATCGTGATCGGCGAGGATGCCGCTATCCAAGAGCGAAAGCCATCTCCGCTGCCTGCCAAGCTTGCCTGTTTCTGTGGCGCTTTCTTTTGTGCGCAGGTGGTGGAATCCATACTCTGTCACTGTGGTTGTCTGTAACCCGGTGGCCCACTCATAGACCTGCCGTCGCAAGTGCTCTGGGCAATGGGAAAACGCTACCTCGTCCAGCTCCAGCAGCAAGCACCGGTACCACTGCTGCGCTGGCCAGCAGAGCTCAGCCAACAATGAGGCCACGCAAGGGTTTGTGTGGGCAGCAACCTCTGCAGCGCTCAAGGTGCGCCACCACTCTCGCAGTGTCTGCAACGCCGTTTTCTGCTCCACTTCTTCGTGGTGCAGCAGCCACGCAAGCTTGAAGGGCATGCCATGCGAGTACATTTGGTACTTCAAGAGCCTTTGGCCCAGAAGGTTGGCAATGAACCGCAGCGCAAACTCTGCCAATTGCTGCCCCTCGTCCTCTTCCAAGACATCGCCTGCAATCAGGCATTGCGATTTAAAAGCAACTAATGTCTTCTTTGTATAAAAGCAACAAGCCCTGCCGATTCCACTGCAGCTGTCCTAAAACTTGCCTCGCCTGTTGCTTCGTATGGAGAGGCCCGGAAACCCATGCTCTCCAGCTTCTTGTGGTCAACGGTAGTTTTGGCAATGGACACGACCTCCTGTACCCACTGGCCGGCGGCCATTTGCACCTGCCTTTCCATGCCGCCTCTTCTGGTGCTAAACTGTTTCTGGGCAATTCCGTGTGACTCTCTGACTGGAGCGACGGCATGTAGAAGAACCGTGGCCAGCCTCTTGTTGAAACGTGACATGCTCACGCATGTTGCGACGTGCAAGTTGCCCGTCATTTTTTTCAAGAAAGACAGCTGCTCAGCAGCACCATGCTTCATCATTCTGGAGGCAGCCCCTTCTGAAGCAACGGCATGTCCTTCTGAAGCAGCAGCCGCCGCCCGTGCAGTGGCAATATTTTGCGCCATGCACATGTGGAGTTCCTCCATGGAGCGGACCTTCGGCCCAGCAACTCACGTGACTGCCTTCGCCCCATGCCCAAGGAACAGCCCTTGCAAACGGGACCTGTGAAGCAAGCAATGCAAACCAGAAAGCCAAGCGGTACCTCAAGCAATGCCAGGCAGCACACCATCGCCCCACAATGCATTAAGCCACACGAATCACGCAAAACACCTGCAGGGACACAACCTGTGACAATGAACGACACGATTCAACAGGCAAGTGCTGGCTAGATACAATGTGCTTGCGCAGGCACAGGTGCACCAGCTGCACACTCAGTACGAACCAATACGGCAGGTAGTCCTCACAAGGCACAAGTGGCCCACCAGTGCTGCCTAGAACTGAACTCTCCCGCTTAAACGTATCACGCACGGCTGTTGCCAGTGACTTGCGTTGGGAAGGGTTCTATCCACCGTGAGTTTCCCTAGTCTCGCACAAGTTCGCACAGCAAATGCCCCCCAGTCGTGCGCACAAACCAAAAGTCACCTGCGCCGATCGGTCGGCTTTCTTCCTGTCAACTGGCAGAGCCTGCCCGATGGTTGCACAAGTCGGCTAAGTAAGGCCAAGCTGCAGCGAGGCTGTCAAAGATAGAAAACCAGCGGCAGGACTTCACCAGATTGCCCTTCTTGTTGAAAAACGGGCAGGATTTCATGAAGTTGTACGCCTCCTAAAGCGGGGCCGGCAACTTGCTGGCTGGGTTCTTTGCTGGTTGTTTCCCGGGGCACGCTTGCTCGGGAAAGCTTCTTGAAGGCGGACGCCGTAATTGAAAGCTTCTTGTTCGGGAAAGCTGCTGGGATAGCCAAGCGTTTTGAGCAAGGTTTTTTTCTGCAGGGGTGTAATCGGGGGCCATGTGTTTGCTTTTGAAGAAGCGGCCTGGAAACAAAGGCTTCTAAGCTATAGCTAACTCGGTACCGATGTTTCAACGCGGCCTTGTTCAGGGGATGGGGCCATGCCTTCTTTCGTGCGCGGGCGAACGAAAGGCTCCTGCATGCTGTCTGCGCTGCCAAAGGTACACATGTTGACGCCAGCTTCGCGGGCTATGTCTTCATAGAAATATCCGAACAAGGGATCTTCATATGAAGCGCTGCTGAAATATGTCGCTGCCGATGCGGAAATGTTGCCAAACATTGCTGCGCCTTGCCATGGCCCGCTGGCCACATTCAACAGCGTCGTGAGGCACAGCCGGAAAGGTCTCAAGCCAGAGGCATCCAATGCTTGGTTCACACTTGTCCAGTCTTTGTGTGGCTCGTCCCACTGAAAACTTCCCACGGTGGGCAGCCGTTGAAAAAGCCAAAACAAACACTGCCAGCTCATCGTGCCGCGGTCCGACACGATGTGCAGTCTGCCCTGGGCAGGGTCTGAGTGGATCAACTCAAGCCGTGTCTTTTTTTGCTTCTTGTCCAGGACGCATGCCCGGCGGCTCTGCCCCAAGCTGATGAGCTCTGCTGGGAGGTCGCTGGCAGCGACATAGTACCGCTCCTCTTCCGGACCTAATGGCCGAATCGGGTGCTCAGACAAGTAGTGGGCAAGCCCAACATCGCATGCGATTTGCAAGGCGTGGTCCATAGCCAGGATGCTCAACTTGTTGCCCAAGCGCTTGGCACGCTCCAGCGGTGGATTCTGGTGGCCTTTGGTCAAGAACTGCGCGATCTCAGCTCTTCTCGCCCGCTTGGTGTCGGCGTCAACGGCATTGCCCGGCTTCTCTTCACACTGCCGATAGTCCCGAAGGACTTGTATGGGCAACCAGCCGGCGGACAAGGTTTTGGCATGCCAAAAAGCGTAGGCCACAGTCTCTTCAGCTGGGCAGCCAAAACGGCTCCCGTCCGGCGCTATGCTGATGGTCCCCGGCTTTTTCCAAGCCCTTCGCAATGTCAAGAGCCACTGCTGGACCGCAAACCCCTCCCACTGCCGGCCAGAATTGGCCAAGGACTCGGCATCGTTTGCTCGCAGGTAGGCCGAGCAGGTGGCGGCCTTCCCCTCGGCCAGCGATTTGAGCACATAGTCTTTCAAGTCTTGATCCAGCCGCATTCTCTTGCTACTGCCCGGCAATTGCCGGTACTTCAAAGGGCTCTGGTCGAAGTCTGCTGTAAGCACATGCTCATTGATCAGCGTTGCCAAGCGCTCGGTCCAGTCCAAATACCAACGCAGCACAGCGTTGCAATGCTGCCCCTCGAAAAGTCGGCACAAGGTGGGTGCGAGCTTTCCTTGTCGACCCCCCTCATCATCTTGGCTGCGCTGGGTGGACGTCCATTGCTTTTGGACATGCAGGCAAACTCTATCTAAAGGGTGCAGCCGCGCGTCGCACTCTGCTGGGCTGCCTTGCCAGGCATGCTGGAGGAACTCTCCCGCAGCCGCGCCCTCGACCAGGTGGTGTAAGAAGCCCGCAAAGTACAGCCGTGCGGATTCCTTCTCCTGGAGTTTTCTCCGGTTGGTGCTAAGGAATGCAAGCAGGTCCAGAAGAGCCGCTGTGCTGCACGAATACTCTTCGCGAACGTATCGCTCTTCAACTTCGGCCACGGCTGCCTGCTTGGCCTCGCTCAAGTAGGACCGCTTACTGGGCACAGCATGCGGGCTGCTGCGGTGGCGCTGCACGAAGTTGTGCCATTGCCCCAGCTCTGCACGGAGCAATTTGTCGAGAGCCAAATGCTTTCTCCCCAGCATCACTGCAAGCAAGACCCGCCGCATCTCCCACATCACAATCTGGCCGCTGTACCTCCACCCTTTCCAATCAAGCTTCCAGGCTTGACCATCCTTGTCGGCCGCTGAGGCCTCGAAGTAAAAAGGGTTGTCGCCAACAGCCCGCATCTGCTGTGAGTCGGCATCGTCGGCGCCCTGCGGCGCTGGCTCGTGGCCAAGGCTGTCACCTCCACTTTTCGCAGGCTGGCATGCTTGCGCTGTCGGGCTCATTGAAGCCATGTTGGACTTGTCGGAGGCTGCTTGACCACAAGGGTTGTCTGGGCATGCGCCTCTGCGTGTGTCTATGTGTCTGTGTGTCTGTGGCTTTCTGCAAGGCTTTAGGGGCACCGTCCCGTGCATCTATGCTGAATCTCTATGCTGAATCTATGGCGCAAATGGCTGACTGAAAAAGCACACTCAACATGTTTGGGCCTTTCAGGCATGTTTTGCTGGATCCACTGCCGAAACGCTCAGCATTCGCTCTTAACAAAACATGGAAAAACAGTTGGCTGTCACACATGGCTGTGGCCAGCATCTGCGCGGGCCGTCTGGGGCTCCGGCTCGAAATCGAGCAGGTTGCACAACGCCACGCAGAAGTTTTCGGAGTGCAGACACCTGGGAAGCATTCGTCTCGAAGCCGGCATCACTGCCAAGATCAGCTTAACGGGCAGGAGAGGAGACTTGCAAAACAAACTGAAATGCAGCACTTTTTCCGGTTCACTGGCTGTGGGAGCTGGGGGGGCCTGGGATCTGTGGGTTGCATATTTTGGGGGCCACTCCTTACGACAATTCGAATGTGTATAATTTTAAGGCACCGGAGGTCCGCTTGGGGGCGGCACCTGTCGAATGAATAAATCTCTCTGCTCTGGGGCTCACGCATTCGTGGCTGGAAAGCCTAGACTGCTACACCTTGCCCAGTGCCAACACAAAGTCTCCTTTGGTGAGCGCCATGCGATGTCATATTTGAACAGAGGAGGTGTCCAAAGCACATTGCCAGTGTGAAAGCCAACTGCAACATCTATCCCTTGCAAGGTCCAAGGCTGCACGCTGGGCGCAAGGCTGACCAGAGCTCGCGCTTTGGACACACCGAAACACCTGTGGCAAGCGCTGCTTGAAGCGAAGCTCTGGCGCAACTGCACGCACCTCCCAAGCTGTAGCTTTCGAAGGAACTTTATCATGATTCAATCACTTAAGGCATCACAGTGTCCATGCCAGGCAGCTCCCTTTGCGGGCCTTTTTCCCCGCGGCCAGGAAACCCCAACTTAACTTACTGGCCGAACGCTCCGGCTGGTGCCAGAGCCAACCCCTTGCAAAAAGCAGCCCTAAGCCCTAAGGCAGTGCCATTCAGTCTTGGTTGCTCGGCATTGGCGGTCGGAAGGTGGCTTCGGAGATTTTGCTCCCGTAGTCGCCCACTTGCACAAAGCTCTGTGCTGGGGCCGGGCTTTTGCACGGGCTGGGCCTGGAAGCCAGCTCACCACAGCTGCTCGGACTGCTTTGGGAAAGCGATGGTGGGCTGCGAGCTGCCCTTTTGCTGGGCGGAGTTAGCATTGGCTTCTGGGCACGTTTGCCGCGCGCGCTCCAAGGGCAGTGGCCTTGCAAGGCTGGTGGTGCATCACCCGCGGGCCGAAACCGCTTAGCGCATGCAAACATTGTGCTCAACAGGAAAGACTGCGGGCTGCCTGCGATCTCCAGCTTGGCGGTTTGGTCTGAGAAGTTGTTCGTGATGTGCAGGTCTTGTGGACGGCACCCCGCTCCCAAAGAGAAATCGATGACTCTGTCCTCTGAGATGTGCTTGATCTGGGCAAAATCAGGGTCCGCACTGGGGAGGAGCTGATAGACTCCATGCCGGGGCCAGTCAATTGGCGTTTCCAACTGGGCTGCGCGGTTTCCGCACCGCTCTGCCTGCTCCTTGCTGTATCGGACGAGGCTCGCCAAGTCTGGCAAAAGAGCAGGATCGATCCGAAACTCTGGCGCTATCTTGGTCGTGAACTCAAGAAGTTGCAGCAAGGCCTTGCGCTCTTCGCTGGCGCGCCCTTCCCTCGGCAGAACGCGCCGCAGGCCCCAGGATGAAAAGGTTTGCTGGCAAATGCCGGCCAAGATTGCTTTCAAGTCGCAAAGGGGCAAGTTCTTCATGGATTTGCTGCCCAACTTGCGGGTCAGGGGGTCTGCGCTCGATGGCGCCTTTGTTGATGATGATGGCGATTTGCCGGCGCTAGTTTCAAGCAAGCACTTCTCGGCAAAGCTCAGCACCTCAAGAGCGAGGCTAGGATGTTGCCGCAGCATCTGGGCAACATCTTTGGCAGCCTCTCTTGCCTCCACAGCTATAGCTCGTGACCGCAACTTCTCTGCTTGCACTGAGGCCTTGGAGTTCTGAGGCATTGCTATTCTGGACGTGCTTGGGCGGACTTTGGCTTTGCCAATAATGCCAGGGCTTGAGCGCTGGGGTCGCAAAACACTTGCAAGCCACCGGCCCCTGTGACAATGCCATGCGCCTGCCATGAGCCATGTCGGGCGGCACAGCCTTTTTTCCCCGAGTTGTTTCTGACGCCTGCCTGCCGAGCAAAGAAGCAGCACGTGCAAAATCAGCCAGCCTGCCGATGCCAAGACCACTGCCTTGTCTAGCTGAATGCAACTTGAATTCAAAATCTGGCCCTGAGAGTGTCCATCGTGCTGGTGGGTAAGGGATTCCCTAGCTAGCCCTGAGGTAAATAAGCCTAACTTAAATGACAGAAATAGTTAGTTACTGGTGCTCTGTGGCGCGGCTGCTCTAAGCAACCAGAAGGCTGGCCGCTAGCTTGCAAAAGGACCAAGGGTATGCGCTGTACAGCGCTGTGCGGAATTGCGCTGCGCCTTTGGTTGGCCCTCTCTCAACACCTGTCATCTGGCGGTGCCGGTTGCCTCGACCGCAGCTGCAAGATTGGAAAAGACGATCAAAGCCTTTGGGGACAGCTCCCCAAGCCATAAGCTTTGTCCGCTTTCTGAACTCGGAGCCAAAGCAGCAGGCATCAAAAGTTCCGCATGCTGTGGCTGATGACCTGCGGGCATTTTTGAGCGGGCTGCACACACCCACACACACACACACTTTAGGTGCCAAGCATTGGCCGACAGCAACTCAGACACAAGAAGCATAAAGCACACTGCGACCAAGAGACGCCATCCGCGCAAGCGGCGGGAATCGCCACACTCTTGATGCCCCTGGGTTCTCAAGGATGAGAAAGCTCTCAGGCGGTAGGTTCTCAATCAGCTTCACCACAAAAAGAACTTGGTCATTTGCGTCCTGCAAGCTGCTTGGGGCTCCGTGGCGCCCCTTGCTGCATGACTGCAAGTGCTTCCAGCTGCACAGTCTCTGTCCTGGACACGTTGCTTTTCTTTGGGCGAATTCTCAGGGAGGCCCCATAAGCCTTCGTTGTCATCTGCGCGGAGAGGGGGTGGCCAAGATCTCCGGGCCTGGCGTTGCCCCCAAACAAGCTGACAGAGATCAGACAAACTGATGTGCCCATCTTACCTCTTGGCAGCCCCCAAGCCTTCTGCGAGCAATTCAATTTCGCCAGCCGCTTGCCACGCCGAGCCCGCGACCATGTACTGCAGTCCAGCCCCACCCAAATTGCTTTCACAGCGTTGCTCTGAAGCCTGCTCAAAATCGTGTGCTGAGTCTCCTGGCCGCGGGGGTGCTGGGGGCCAAACACAAACAGCAGGCAAGTTTGCCGGTATGGCCCAGTACTTTTGCAAACCTGTCCTTGTTCATCAAGTCTTCGCACTTGTCGTGCTGGATTTCGAACACTTCCACCTGCAAATCTGTGCCCAGCCGCGCCATACAGCGGCTCAATCGGCAAGTTCCGCCAAACAGCTCCAGAACTGCAAGGGAACCCTGGCGGGCAGCGGGCTTCAACACGGCACCCCGCCCTTGCTCAGCAGGCTTGGGATGGAATTCCTCATCCATGGCCCGCAGCTTTTCGTGGAGGTGGTTCGAGGGCTGGCTGACAGAAGCCTTTTTGCGCTTTGCCTTCTTTTTTGGGGTGGGGCCCGCTGCATCGGCAGCAACAGCCTGTGTGCAGCCAGCATCCTGTTCACTGCGCGGGCTCGCAGCCCTTGCCGCCCAAGTGTCTGAAGCGGAGTGGCCACCGCTTTGCCCAGGGTGCCTGCTGCTACGGGTTGGCGCGGCGCTGCTACGGCATCCCCAAGCACGCTTCAGCTGCGCTGCCTTGCCCGAAGTCCCTCCAACCGATGGGCCGGCTGGTTCACCTGCAAGCTGAGTGGCGGGCTGTTCCACAATGCCCTGTGACTGGCGTTGGCGAGTTTTCTCTGCGCATGCGCTGCCGCTCTGCCTACCTGACGTGCAGCCCCATGCACGTCTTGGTGGACACTCTGTTGATGCCGGGCTTGCAAATCCCTGGCAAGCCCGCCCCTGCTTCAAAGGCATACTGGGCGCGGATGATGACTTGGCATTGGGTGAAGCCGCCTGCAAGGAAGGCTGCTGTTGCTGCACAGGCAGCTGCGCACCACCATTGCAAGGCTCAGCCTTCGAAAGGCAGCCCCATGCATGCCTCATTGGAGCAGCTGTGCGTGCGAGACTTGCTTGCTGCACAACCGGATGCGTGCCGCCATTGCCAGGCTCAGCCTTCGAAAGGCAGCCCCATGCATTCCTCATTGGAGCAGCCTCGCATGCGAGACTGGCTCGCTGCGCAAGCTGCTGCGCGCCACCATTGCAAAGGCTGCCCCATGCGTTCCTCATTGGAGCAGCCGTGCCTGCGAGACTGGCTTGCAATTCTGCCATTGCCTAGCTTGCCCGCAAGGACTAAGATCCGGCCATGCGCAGCAGCTTTTGCTTTTAATCGGGCAATGATCCGTCGGTGACTAAAGGGTTAAAAGCGGGCAAGGCAGCAACTCCACAGCCAGGCTCAAGGCTGGCAAGGCGCCTTTTTCAAGGTGATTGTCACCCAGCAAGGTGGTTGTCACCCAGCATGCAATCACACAATTTACCAGCTGTTTAGTTAGACCAACTGACACGCAGACACACGCAACGAACCAACAATTCAAGCAGACCCAGCGGTGAGAAATTACTGCGCCCCTTGTCGTGCTGGCAGGCCCGCAGCAAAGATCTGAAATGCGAAAGGGAGCAACTCTAAGGCTGGCTCTGGGCTGGCTACAAACCCACATCGCATTTCCATCGGTCAATCAGCTACAACCTGTCTGTTCTGAGCGCTAGCATGCCCAACATGCCAGACCAAATGAGCTGCGCATTAGCAAAACTGCGCAAGTTTATCAGCAGCCGTCCTCAAAAAATGTCCTCCGCATGATTCTCCTCCGGCTCTGCATGACTCTCCTCCAGGTCCGCCTCCGCCTGGCAAGGGCAGAGGATCTTCCAGCAGCAGCAAGCGCGGCACCGGCTGCTTTTCTTTGCGGGGGGGCTTGCCTTGAAAGGTGCTTCTTAGCATGCATGGACCGAAGCAGCAAGAAAGCGTGCTCTGAAAGTCCGCCGACATTGCTCGGCGTGTCGGATACTTTCTAGAGGATAGAGGATAACCCCCCCCCCTAACCCCCCCCCCGCCCGACGTCTATTACGTAGGTTTTTGGGGGGGGGGGGTCCCCCACGTACCGCGCGGCAATTTGATGACGTTCCACTAAACGTAGTCTTCGGGGAGCCGGTGTCGCAAAACAGGGGTCCCAGGCTCGATTCCCCCTGCCGGCTTTTTTGCTGGCTTGGGCTTCCTGCATCCTTTTGCCGAAAATCTGGAAAAACTCAATGTTTTTGGACGTCCTCTTTGCAAAAACGCTGGAAAAACCGTGTTTTTGTTGCGGGAAATACATACATACATGCATGAATGCATGCATGCATACATACATACATACATACATACATGTCATACATACATTACACACAAACATACATACATACATACATACATGCATGCATACATACATACATACATACATGCATGAATACATGCATTACATACATACCTACCTACCTACCGACATACATACATACATACATACATACATTACATACATACATACATACATACATACATACATACATACATACATACATTACATACATACATACATACATACATACATACATACATTACATACATACATACATTCATTACATACATACATACATACATACATACATACATACATACATACATACATTACATACATACATACATACATACATACATACATACATACATACATACATACATACATACATACATACATACATACATACATTACATACATACATACATACATACATACATACATACATACATACATACATACATACATACATACATACATACATACATACATACATACATACATACATACATACATACATACATACATACATACATACATACATACATACATACATACATACATACATACATACATACATACATACATACATACATACATTACATACATTACATACATAACATACATTAACATACATACATACATACATACATACATACATTATACATACATACATACATACATACATACATACATTACATTCACATTCTACATACATACATACATACATACATACATACATACATACATACATACATTACATACATACATACATACATTACATACATACATACAACATACATACATACATACATACATACATACATACATACATACATACATACATACATACATACATACATACATACATACATACATACATACATACATACTTACATACATACATACATACATACATACATACATACATACATACATTACATACATACATACATACATACATACATTACCATACATTACATTACATTACATTACATTACATTACATTACATTACATACATACATACATACATACATTACATACAATACATACATTACATACATTACATACATACATACATACATACATACATACATACATACATACATACATACATACATACATCATACATACATACATACATACATGCATACATACATACGTACATACATACATACATACATACATTACATACATACATACATTACATACATACATACATTACATTACACATACATACATACATAAATACATTACGTACATACATACTTACTTAGGTACTTACTTACTTACTTACTTGCTTACATTACATACATACATACATACATACATACATACATACATACATACATACATACATACATACATACATGCATACATACATACTTATGTACATCCATGCATACATACGAGAGAGGGAGATTGGGAAGAGAGAGGCTTGGGGGGATGGGGAGGATGGGAGCAGAGGGAGGGAGAGCACACAAGGGAGACAAGGAAGAGAGGAAGAAGGAGAAAAGGGAGAGGACAATGTCGGCGGACTGAGCCGGAGGCTCTAAAGTTTGATGCATGTTCCAGGCTGCACAAGTCACTTTCTTCCATCAGCCCACTGCCCTTCTTACACTGCACCCTCAGCTGGCCCGCCTCTTTGTTCAACTTCTTCTCCCCGCGTGGCGAGATCAGTGAGGTCTTGACGCTTTCCGGAACGGTCCAGGACTTCTTCAGAAGCAATGCGGCACCCATGAGCTTCAGCCAACACTCGCTCTCTCCCTTCTGCTCCACGGAAGTCACCTCAAACAAGAGCTTGGCAGGAAAACACACTGTCTGGCTAAACCCGCTCGCTAGCCCAGTGGCGAACACGAACTCATACAAGTCTTTCTGGCTGTGGCATAGGTCAATGGCCTCCTGGTCTGCATTGTTTGGCGGCTGCCACGCAATGCCGCGCTTGGACTTTGGAATGTCGCCTGGGGCGCGCGTCTTTTGGAAACAGCCGCCTATAGCAAGCAAAGCTGATCGTCACACAGCTTGAAGCGTGCCTGAGTGTCCGGCCTTTCTTGTTCAGCTGGCCTCGGCCCTCTATGTGAGTGATCTGGCCGTGGCTCTTCATGTAGTTCCCCAAAGTCGTGACATCCCCAAGCCCTCCTTCAATCAAGGGAATCACCCTTGTTGACTTGGACGGGTTCCAGGGGACGCTGCCCTGATTGCCAAGTGTTCCGCCGGGAATGGAGCAAACCTCAGGCGCACCAACTTCATGCTCGAGCTCTATGACTTGAGATCGGGCGCCAGAAAGCGCTGTGCGATCAAGTTGACACAACTGGCTGTCAAGCCAAGTGGCGACGCAGAACTTGCGAAGTCGCCTCTTGTGCCCAAGCCTGGTCACTTCAATGCCCTGCTGGGTGAGGTCGAACTGAAACAATGCATCATCATGTAGCCGTGCGCGCTTCCCAACTGGCTCCGAAGCATCCTCCGCCACCTCTACCATCTCTTTGTCCTCATCCAGCCGGGCGGACTTCTTGACTGGCTCCAAGACTTTTTCCACCTCGTCATCATCCTCATCTTCAAACAGGCTCTCCAGACCCCTCTTCTCACTTTCCTTACCCGTGAGATTTTCAGCCACTGTGCTGTCTTCTACTTTGTTCTCCTCACAAGCCCCTGAAGCCGCTGCCTCAACATCCACTGCTGCGCCGGCATCCTGCGGGTCTTTCTTGGCCACTGCCGGTGCGCCCTTGGGATCTTTCTCATTCTTGGCCAGCATGTCAGTAAGCTCCCCTGCAAATGAGAGCTCGCCTGAGAAGGCCGCGATGGGCTCGGCCGCGCGCAGCACCAAGGAAGGGTTGTGCGCTGTGGAGAAGAGCCATTCAGCCTCCAGGAGGCAAAGCCTGTTGGGGGCAGTGATTGCATGCATCAATCAACAGCTCTGAATAACCGAACAACAGGCGCAACCACCCGCTGCCTGGGATGCGTCAAGGCGGGGCCCACATGCAGAAGGCTGCCGACATGGTCAGCGATATCCATGGCCAATTGACAAGATACCTTGTTTTTGTTCCCGAAAGCCACGGCCAAGACCTTCTTCAAGCCTGGGTTTGGCCATTTTGTCCAAGTACTTCCGGTGATCTTCATCACAACTTCCTTCTGCGCAAACCTCAGCTTTTACAGCCCTTGGCGGGCGACTTAACCTAAACCACAAATGCCTCCGTGGAACGCTCGGGCTGGCAAGAGAGCATGACCGGCATGAAACAAGCTGGGGTGCACCAGGACGTCCCACTCGAGCATGCCTTTCTGCGGAGCACACATACAGGGATCTGAAGAAGGCAGCGTTGCCCCCAAACACGGGCCCAGCAGTGTTACAATACTTGGGTGTGGCTTTCTGAAGCCAAGGTCTCGGAAAATGCGTTGAACCCACCCTGTGAAATCTGCATTTGGCTGCTATTGTGCAGCGGGTCGGTCTGCTCAAATTGCTCAGCCTGGACTTTCCGACCACAAACATCTGTCAAGCGACCCTGCCACAAACTCAGCTGGCGAGGCATGGGCGTCGTCACCGCATCTGTGTCGCGCAGCAATGCTTTGCGCGGCCCAGAGCCAACCTGCGGCGAATGCCAGCAGAGGCCCCCTGGCAAACAATTAGCCCTTGTGTCAGTTGCTCTTCTGGGGTTGGTGTGGCTCAGCTTCAAAGGAGACACCCGTATTCAAAGTGAATTGCCCTTTTCGTCTGCGCGCTTCACCGTGCGAAAGAATTGGCATTGCCCGTTCATGCGTGTCCTCCAACTACAAAAGCCGCAAGCAATTAACGACCACCTGAAGCCAAACAACTCTGAAGAACTGCGAAGAACAGCCAGGGATCACCTGGGTCACACGCTCCTCACCCACCCCCTAGGGAAAAAAAGAAGACTAACACTAACCCTGGCTCTACTGGATTTCCATTCCCAAACTGTCTCCCGAAACCGGACAGGGACAAAGGAGTACAACACAACCAGGGCCCACGCATCACAGCCAGCTCTCTTTCCCCACTGCGTGGTGCAAAACAGATAAACGGCGAGTCTATCCTACTCTTCCAGGAGAAGATCCAGTCTTATTAATTCACTGATGCTGGGGGTGTTGGTAGTGGTGTTTTCAACGTACGAACTGTTCGTGTTTTTGTGCTGAAAGCTTTTGCTGTGCTAGTGGTTCTTTTCCTTTGGCAATGGGCGGGGGGCATTGTTGGGGCTTTGTTTCTTGTGCCGTGCTAGTGTTCCTGCTGCCAAAGTCGACTTATCCTGTTCTGTTCGCTGATGCTGGGGGCGTTGCTTGTTTTCATTGCAATAACAGCTGGTGCGTTGTGCTAGTGGGTCTTTGTTTTCCTGCTGCAAGCCGGCTTATCCAGTTTGCTGAGGTTGCTGTGGGGCTTTTTTTGTGTTGAAAGAACCCCCCCCCCAGCATCAGCGAATAAGCCGCCTTTTGCGGCAGGGAAAGGGCCACCAGCATGGCGCAAGGTTTCAACACAAAAACTCCAGCAGTTTTTGTGTTGAAAGAACCCCCCCAGCATCAGCGAATAAGCCGCCTTTTGTGGCAGGAAAAGGGCCACTAGCACAGCACAAGCTTTCAGCACAAAATCTCCAGCAGTTTAATGTGTTGAAAAAGCACACCTCCAACACCCCCGAATTAAGCTGGAAAGCAGCCCCTTGCGGTATGAAACGAGACACTAGCACGGCACAAGGTTTCAACACAAAAACTCCGGCAGTTTTTGTGTTGAAAGAACCCCCCCAGCATCAGCGAATAAGCCGCCTTTTGTGGCAGGAAAAGAGCCACTAGCACGGCACAAACTTTCAGCACAAAATCTCCAGCAGTTTTTGTGTTGAAAAAGCACACCTCCAACACCCCCGAATTAAGCTGGAAAGCAGCCCCTTGCGGTATGAAACGGGCCACTGGCACGGCACAAGGTTTCAACACAAAAACTCCAGCAGTTTTTGTGTTGAAAGAACCCCCCCAGCATCAGCGAATAACCCGCCTTTTGTGACAGGAAAAGAGCCACTAGCACGGCACAAGGTTTCAACACAAAAGCTCCAGCAGTTTTTGTGCTGAAAAAAGGCCCCACAGCAACCTCAGCAAACTGGATGAGCCGCCTTTTGCGGCAGGAAAAGGGCCGCTAGCACGACAAAAACTTTCAGCACAAAAACTCCAGCAGTTTTTGTGAAAGAGCCCCCCCCAGCATCAGCGAATAAGCCGCCTTTTGCGGCAGGAAAACTCTAGCTGTTTTTTGTGCTGAAAAAAACTCCAGCAAAATCCCCAACATCCGCGACTGTAGAAAACTGGTCAGCAAGCCCTTGCGACAGGAAAAGAACCACTAGCACGGCACAAGCTTTCAGCCCGCAAACTCCAGCAGACTTTGTGCTGAAGACAGCTCAGCACCACCAACAACACCCTCAGCATCAGCGAATTAAGCTGGAAAGCAGCTCCTTGCGGCAGCAAAAAGAACCACTAGCACGACAAAAGCTTTCAACACAAAATCACCAGAAGTTTTTGCGCTGAGAAAAAGCTCAGCAACAGCCCCAGCATCAGCGAAAAAAACTGGATAAGCTGCCATTTACGGCAAGAAAAAACACTAGCATGACATGAGCTTTCTGCGCAGAAATTCCACAGTTTTTTGTGCTGGACCAAGCCCCAGATATACCCCCCGCAGCACCAGCAACACCTTCAAACTCACAGCCACATGCTGCAAGTTGCGGCCACTTGCGGCAACCTCAGCTGTGCTGGCGGAAAACACTTGCGCTTGGAGCCTCGTTGCAGGCCCTAAGTGACTCTAGTGTATCCCAGACCCAGCCTGCCTCTGGAAATGGCTCATTCGGATCCCTGATCACAAACGTCTCATGGAGAGGCAGCTGAACATTCTTGCGCATGGCCTCGTAGTAATCCTGAAGCGTGCTTGGGATGGCTGCGGCTTCTGGATCTGGAATCCTTGGATCCGGTAACACGCTGCTGGCCATGGAGGCATGGCACGACAAAGCATAGCAAGCAGCTAGAAACTTTCAAGTTCAACTGTGGCACACTGCTGCGAGTTCGGCTAATGTTGCCGTGGCCCCCGAAGTGTTCCTCTTGAGCTGCCGCGATGTCGTCCATCTGTTCACGGCCATATCCTGAATCCGGCGCCGCATTGCTGCGGCCCGAGCCGGCGCAATCCCATAGATGCCTCCAAGCCAGTGGGCGGCTTTGCTCTTCTCCACTAGCACATCGAAAAGCTGACCGTGGGACAACTCGAGCTCGATGAACACGAGAGGGGCATTGGGATCATCACAAAACCGCAAGATGCCCAAGGCGCGGAGTAGATCCGCATAGAACACCCGCCCCCAATGACGGGTTGTGCCAACACTGTGCCTGTTCTCACCCCGCAGGATGTGCTGGCCATCGGTGCTTGCAACAAAGAAGTCAGGGAACGCACAGTCGCTGGCCCAAGCGCCCGTTTCAGCGCTGTGCACGGCCAAAAGCTGTAGGCAGGTGCAAGTGCTCCAGGCCGGGGGCGCCTGGGCAGGGTCACAAGATGCTGGCACAAAAGTTGCGTGGATAACTGGCTGCCGCTAAATCCCAATCCAACATCTTGGGCAACACTGCGCAGCTCACTGCGTGAGACACATCTAAGGCCTTGAGCTGGATGACTGTGCGCCGGACGGTGAGGTGGGCGAGCTTCGTGAGCAAAGCAGTCTCCACCGCGGAAACAGATGGAGAGAGGGGAAGCATGAAAAGGAGAAGAGATTGCGGCCCTTTCAAGAAGCAGCTTTCGACCGTGTCACCAAGGAGTCCGTCGATGAGGCCGGGGAGCTCCGTCTCCTCGAGCATGTTGAAATCACAAAGCAAAACCTTAGCTGAAACGCCCAGCAAGGTGGGTCGAAATGTAGTGGCGGTGTGTGTCTGCGGCCCAGTGGCAACCTTTTTATCCATCATTCTCTGAATCCACTCCTTTGGCAACTCCTTGGCCGTTTTGCGGATTTCGGCCACAGCATACTGCTCTGCCACCTGCTCAGATTGCAGAAGTCAGCCCCAGAGGCAAAACTGACGCTGGGATGACACCAGACGTTACTTTAATGCGATGGAAAAAGACCGGCCTCCGAAGAGACCTCACCTTGTCTCCGCTCAGCCGAAGCCTTCATGACTGCCAGCGCCTCCTGAAGCACCTGCTCCGCCTGAGGCTTGAGCTCCGCGAGTCTCTCGGCCGCCGTGGCCATGTGCAGGGCTTGGCAGGCACTGTGAGCGGAGCTCCCTTTCTCCGCCTCCTCATCCAAGCGCTTCATGGCGTCAGCTTTTTGCCTAGACCAACAAATCTTGCAAGTTCGCTCAAAGCGGGCAGGGGCTGCGCTGGCCAAGGCACTGTGCCGTCTCCGCTCTCTTCATCTCTTCCACTGCCTCCTTCCGCGCCCTCAGCAGGCTAGCCACAGCTGGCCACCGCTGAGGCGCGGCATTCGTGGCACCGGCCCCAGCCGCAAACGCAGCCACGAGCTTGATTTCCTCGTCCTGGCGAGACGCGCTCGCGCTGGCAAGCTGTCCCAAACGCTTGGCCCTGCAACGTGCCGGGTCCTTGGTCCAGCGGAAGTGCTGCTGAAAAGCCCCCTTCTCATACTCGATGGCTTGCTTGCGAAACATGAGGCGCGCTTGTGCCGGGACATCGATCCGGCTACACTCATCCTTGACTTTAATGCCCGAAACCGCCTCCAGATTGATGTTCTTCTTATCCATGATGTTGCGGAGCTGCGCAGGGCTGGTGAACTTTCAAGGGGCCGCAAAAGTTTCACAGGTTGGGCCAAGCAAGCTCCAATTAGTGACTTCTGTAATGGACATCGAAATTAGGGAGGTCTATCGGTTCTGCAGGGCTTGTGCCTCGCAACCAGCAGACAGCAAATAGCCAGTCGTATGATGCCTTCGTCTTCTTATTAAGGACCTGTCACAGTTGCGGGATCGTTTGTTCACGGGCAGGTCCTGCACACAAGTCCTGCTGAGGAACTATTTTGCTAGGTTGATCTGCCTCAAGACCTGTCCAGCCCAAACAATGCATAGCGCCATGTGATTGCACATATGAAAAAAAACCTTCTGGCGAATCTGTGCAATGCACGTGTTCAAGACAACCCGTTATGATGATGGGAAAAGGGAGCGGACTCAGGGGGGCAAGGAGGCAGTGCGCACCAACCAATCTGGACTCAGCTCAGCCTGCCCGCCTCTTGAATCATGCGTGCCACCCACAGATCTTGCTGCCGTTCCGTCAAATACTCCGAGCTACGCACCCGCTCCCCCATGAGAAGGTACCTTGGCCACGTGGCTGCTGACGAGTGCCTTTGCAAGCGTCCCCGCTTTGCCAACAACTGCTGTTACACATCCGGGGGGCTTCCCCTCGCGGAACCACGTGGTCGGAAAGACTTCCAGATTGCGACATTGCCTTTGAAAGGCATCAATCCTCCTGAGAGCACTTGAGGCCACTCTCGTGGCAATAGCCGTCATCTTCTCCCAAGGAAACGCTGCCTCATCGTCGCAGAACGTTGGAAGGTGCCGCCGTGCCTCAATCGCCGTACAACGACTGAGTAAGCCAAAAAGAGAACTCACACCCGACTGCATGACTAGTGGCCATTTGTTTGAACTCAGACACCGTGAGGGAGTTGGTATCCATGAGGGTCAGCAAAGTCCAAACGTTGTAGGCTGTGGTGCCATGCCTCGCCTGGACGGCTCGGCTGAGTCCTGCCAGCGGACGGGCGTGAGCACTTACGACTGCGATAGACAGCTTAGGGCACAGGCCTCCCATCATGGCGTCTGCCTGCTGCATGTTCTCCACTTTCACTGGAATTGAAGCCGCCAACTTCATGGCGAAGGTGGGCAGGCGCTTTGATTTCTCTCGGCCTTTGGCAGGAACACACACCAACAGCTGGGTGGCTCATGCATGGGTCAGCATGCTTGGGGCAAACTTCAATGCGAGCCAGGGCGCAGAAGCAAAAAAACACAAACAAAGAGCCCACTCGTTGATGTCCAGACACGAAGTAGTACTTTGAGCCGGAAGAATGTTGCACTGGCGAAAGGACGACCTCATCGCCAAGCCATTGACCTGCGAGCTCAAAGGCGAGCATCTTGTCAAAGGCCGTCTGCAAGCTCACCTTGTTTCACCAGGCCACTGTGCTCTCTGCGCCAACTCTCAAGAGTTAAAGCCAGCCCTGCTGTCCAAGACACTGCTCGCCATCCGGCACTGGTGTCGAGGCTAGCGGGCAGCTCGTACAGCTGGAAGCTGCCAGGCGCTCTCCCGCCTTCACACTCTGGCTTCAAGTGGCTCCGGACGTACTGGAGGAACTCCGTGTCCAACGCCAAGTCTTCTGAGCGACGGTCCTGAGTTGCACTGCTTGCTGCCCCGGCCACGAGGCAACAGTATTGTGTGTGGGCCAAGTGGCCGGGCAGAAGCACCAATCCTTGAACTCGGCCAGCAAGGGCGAAAGGTTTTGAGCTTCTTCTGCGATCACCTGGAAGCATGGCACGCCCAGTGAAGGAAACTAATCTAGAGGGAGTGCAATTACTCAAGTTCGCTTACCCCGATGAGTGTGGGGCTCAAACGCTCAGTTGTGCTTACCGACGGCGTCGGTAAGCGCAACCACAGAATAGACAGCGCGCCCAGGGGCTGAATATGTGCTCCCGATGGCTTGGTTGCGCTTACCGACGCCGTCGGTAAGCGCAAATGCCTGCTCTAACATGAAACCCGTCATCCATTGACAGGCGGTTCTGCATAAACACCCGTTTTCATATTTTGGGTCCAAACGGGCTTAAAACCCCGGACAACCCCCCGGACGTTAAACCCCCGGACAACCCTGCGGACAGCTTTGAGGGCACAAAATCGGCGGGACAACTCCCCGGACAAACCCCCGGACAACCCTCCGGACAGCTTTGAGGGCCCAAAAGCCCGGGACAAACCCCCGGACAACCCTCCGGACAGCTTTGAGGGCCCAAAAGCCCCGGACAAACCCCCGGACAAACCCCGGGACAAAGCTCCGGACAGCTTTGAGGGCCCAAAAACCCGGGACAAACCCCCGGACAAGTCTTTGGACAGGTTTGGAGCACGCCAAAACCACTCAGAAACCACTCGGAAACCACTCGGAAACCACTCGGAACCCGCTCAAAACCACTCGGAAACCACTCGGAGGAAAGTATTCTCGCGGGAGGGGGGGTTTGCAGCATAAATCTCGGCAAAGTGCGCGGACAACCCTCCGGACAACCTTCCGGACAACCCCCCGGACAACTTGCCGGACAGTTGTTTGTCCAGCAGTTTGTCCCGCACTTTGTCCGGCACTTTGTCCCGCAACTTTGTCCCGCACTCTGTCCCGCATATCGAGGGGGGTGTTTATGCAGAAGGGCATTCGTCAAGTCATCCATGCCCCGGCCTCTTCGACAGCATTGGCAGCGCTGCCGGGCTCCAAGCTCGACTCTGGCTCCGCCATTTCTGTGGAGGTAGCGGCTTGCAGGCTGTGAGCCAAGCATTAACATGAGCAAACTGCCAAGCAGCGGCACCGCTGCGCTGGAAGTGTGCCAAGGTTGATGAGCAATTGTAGCTGCTCGCAGTGCTGTTTTCCCCTGTGAGCAATTGTCGCTGCCCTGATTGTAGCTTCCCCCACTGCCCAAGCCTCAAAGCATCACCGTCAACATCTGTCAAATCAGCCAAGTCGTAAAGAGTCAGAAGAAATCCAAGGCAACAAGGCTGCGCGGCCATTCCGGCAAAATTTCGCTACATTCAAATGGCTCAATGCGCCAGCCAAATGCAGTGACAAACAACGGCACCCATTCTGTCAAGATAGAAGTGCGATCTTGCTGGACACACGTGGCTGATGGCAAGCCACGGCATTCACCGGCGCATCAAAAAGAGAACTCAAGCGAGCTTCTGGCCCTCCAAAATCAGCCATCCCGGAATTGGGACGGCATCAAAAGACCGCTTTGCGGAGGCACTCACGATATCACGAACATTTTCATGCCACCGCAGCCGCCGAGCCAGCAGCTGCGCCTCCCCCTCCAACTGCCTGATCCGCTCTTGCAGGCGGGCAAGCTCCAAGCTCGGAGCGCTGCCCGGGGTTTCATGCTGGACAATCCTGCCGCTGTCCAGCTTTGGCCCCGCGCTTCCGCTCTTGCAATGGACATCTTGTCGGGAGCCACCCTCATCTGGCCCCGACGCCGGGCTCATCCCAGCGTGGCTCTCCGTGCCATTTTGCAGCGATTCTGCTCTTTGACTCTCGCTCTTCTGGCCCCGGTACAGCTTTGCCAAAGCTCGCCGCCGAGCCTGAGGTTTGCCCTTCAGCGCCTCAATCTCTGGAAGGTGGCTGTACTTTGAAGCACCACTTGGGCGATTCAACTTGCGCTGTCGGTTTTTCTCATAGACTTCCTTCAGCTTCTTCCTTCGCTGCTGGGCGCTGAGGCCTGGCTCCAGCTGGTCAGCAAACTTGGACGCCACACGGCGGGGCATTGTGGCTGGGCAGACACGATTTGTGCTGGAAAGCGGCTGCAGCCCTGGCACAAATATGCTGGCCCACCAATCATTCGGACTGATCGGAAGTCAACATACAACTGCTGCGGAAGACATGTGAACAGCCTGCATTTGAGTCATAATCAAAACCTGGTATTGACATGGGCTACCCAGAACCATACAAAGAATTAAGAAGGTGGATATCCGCAAAAAAATCTGGCTGACTTCCCCTTACTAACCTTCATCGAACCGAGTTTTGATTCTGGCTGCATTTCGAGTCGCTGGCGGTGTTTTTGCAACACGCCAAGGCCCGGGCGATAGAAGTGCAGATTCCCAGGCAGCAGGCCGCCCTTGGCAATCGGCCTGCTACGCTCTGCGGGTTGTCTGCCTGAGGAAAGCTATTGCAGGGACCTTGAGAAGTGTATCAAAAGCACACCTATGCTAGAATCCCTTTCGGGAGTCTCTTTGCTTCCCTCCAAACCCTCGTAGTCCCCAGGCCCATCACAGAAATGAACCATCTTTGTCCATTGGTTGAAGGCGATCCCCCCCCTAGACATGGTGTGACCATGGGAGTCGAGCTTAATTTGGGAACCCCCCTCCCAACAAAGGGCGCAAAAAGGGGAATTGAAGCTCTGAAAACAAAAGATAATAAAACATTTATGTGTTTCTGTTTCGAGGGCGCCCGTTTTTGTTGGATCAAAGGGTCGCTCAAGGGAGACCGCGCCTTCGGGGTTCTACTTGTTTGACACAAATCCGGTCATTGCCTTCCAGGACAACTAGAAACACGTCGTGCAATAGAAAGGACGTCGCGGCCTTGTGCCCGCTGTATTCAGCAGTCAAGCAGAAGGAGCAGAATGCAAAGCACCGACAGCGCCTTCTAACTTCAAGGGTCTGTTGACTACGGCGCATATCAACATCACAAAACCAAAGTCGAGCACAGCCACAGGGGGACAAGTCATCGCAAGGCAACGGGGAACATAGGCTAGGTCCTCCAGTCGAGAGATTAGAATAAGGGTACCCCTTTTTTTCTGTAGTCTATTTTAGTAGGGAAACCCTCCAAAGGGGTGAGAGGTCGGGCACCTAGCTGGGGGACCTAGTAGGTACTAATCAGAAGCCATGTGTCTCAGCGCCACTGCGCAAAAACCAACCTGCAGCAAACAGACGGCCGGGGCACCCACCGACTTTTTGAGACATCATACGACTTATAATATACAGAATAAGTGAAGGAAGCTCATGTTGCCAATTGACAAAGACACTGCTCTGAATTCAGAGTTCCAAACATATATTTTGGTCCTTGCTGGTTTATTGAAACATGAACACGCTGGAAGCGTCAGCTTTCGGTTTCCCCGTGACTCCAATTGGCAGTGGGGCGTTTCAAGCGCGCAGGTCCGAATGGCCTATTGCTAAGGACTGGGCATGTAGAACTCGGAACGGCGAGGACTCCTGGAGCGCGCGTGGGTCTTCAAAAATACGGTGGATGGTTGCGAAATCCATTTCGCATCACCTGAGAAACCATGGAATGATGATTCCCCGGTAAATACCAACAAACAGTGGTCCGGTGGTTTGGTGGTTTGGTGGGCTGGTCTCCCATTTACCCTCTACAAGAACCAGGAACCCGTTCACATCCCGAAACAACCAATCCGAACCGCCAATTAGAGGAAAACTGAAGGTACATGTGCATAACATGGGTACAAATACACTTCATTATGCACTCACCTATCTATGTCCTAATGTGGTGTCACCTTCCAGACACCAACAACTGTTTGCGTCACTGTGCTTTCTATATTAATGTGGTGTCATCTTGGACAATACACCGCCGACGTCACACAATCGCTCCCTCTTCTCCACAATCGTCCCTGTTCCGGACCTTACAAGTTGACTCTCCCAGCATTTCTTTCGCTCATTGTGAAACATGTCAAGCTCGGCCAAGGTCAGCCCAAGCGCTCCTCCAGAGCTGCAAATAAAGCTCATTAGGAGTGCCCTCGCCACGACCTTTATGGCCACGGTTTGCTGCGAAAAGCAGCTTGCGAAGTTCGCACAGCATGTGCTCCACCAGAGATGCGTGGCTCCAAAAATGTGGCCCAACACACGGGAAGTTGTAAGCCAAAACGAAAGTGGCATCTTCTTCCCCGAGCAACTGCGCTGCCTTGGCCTGCAGATCGGCATTGACGTGCGTCATTAGTTTGCGCACGTAAGCACGCCACAAAGGGCAATCCTGCTGCGCAGGGTGCTTCTCGCTGGGGAATAAATAAGATGCCATTTCCAAGGCTCTGGGCCCGAGTGCATCACAGGCACGGCCGGAGAACAAGCGACTGTCAGTTAACTCCAAGTAGCGTCCAACTTGGACAGCACAAAGCAAAGGCAGAGAAAACCGACGCTGCAACACCTGCAGCGTGTGTTCTGGGCCAGGTCGTTGCTGCAGCTCGCACCATGCTGAGTCGGCTTCGAGCATGCAATGCTCTGCAAAGAATGCCATCGCTTGAAGGAAGTCATACTGGTGATGATCCTCCCGAAGCACGCCCAGCTGTCGCAGTACCGCAAGCAAAGCATGTCGGCCGACCCCGGTAAGCCCACCAGCTGGAGCAGTCGGGGCGCCCGCATCTTTGCGCAGCTGCAAAAACTTGTATGAGGTGAGGCCCAGCAAAAATCCCCCTGGCCCAGGAAAGTTCTGGAGCACAGTGGCGTGATTGCAGCAAATCACAGCGATGACCAAATTGGCAAGCAGCCGTGGGCCTGGACGCATCCATGTGGGAGAGTTGGGCGCCAGCCAGTTGGCAATAATCCACAAACTCGTTGTGTCGAAGAGAGAATACAGCATGCAGCGCTGCTTGTTCAAAAACGCGTCTGCGTGTTCCCAGCCTCCAAGCAACTTGGCTCGGATACGAGAACTTCGCTCGCAGCCTAGCCGTGCAAATGCATCCGCCGCGAAGGCCAACAAAGCGTGCATGAAGGCGTTGACAAGCTCTTTGTCAGGCTCAGCCGTCTCTTCAGCGACCCCGCCACCCACCTCCTGCACCCGCGCTGCCACCGCCTCAACCGCAGCTAAAGTTGCACGTGCAGGGCCGCCACCATGCCCGGCAGAATATTTCTCAAGCTCCTCCATGATAGCCTTTCGGTCTGCTGAGGAGCAGGTGTCTCGCTGAGCGAAGGTCGCAACGCATTGCAGCGTAGCAAAGACCAGCCGCCCCACAGCCCAGCACGCACCGCTGCGAACGCGGCTTCCATAAACAGGCGAGCCGCAGTCGCAGCTGCACGTCCTGGTTTGCCGACTGGGGGGTCGGCCTCCTGCTGCTGGCCGCTTCACAACCGCACCCGCAGGTCGCTTCATAGCGCGCTACAAACACAAAAAGCCGCAGCAAGCAAAACCTTTGATCCCAAACAGCGGAAGGGCATGGCTTGGGCGCACTCAGTCTTTGACAAGCCAGCCTCCCCTGATGCTTCACGCCCTTTCGTTCTAGCGCGTGGCGGGAATTATCGTTGTTTGGGGAGGCCTAAAGTTTGCTCTCGCTTTGGTGTCTTTGGCGCTGCCTAGCACATAGAAATCGTGCGCCCCAAGTCCCCCAACACGGGCTTCATCCAGCCGAGGCCCCTCGGCTGGATGGACGGATTTGGATGACTTAGTGAAGCGAGACTCCTGTGCCGTCATGTAGCTGGTGTCTTCAGCTTGTAGTCCAGGCTCTGCATCAGCTCATCTTGGGCTCCGGCGGTGACTACCTCCATGCTTCTTTACATGTGCCGCGCCACCGTACACTATTTGAGGAGTAGTATTTTTAGGCGGCCTCGATGTCCCGGGCCAGCTAGGTCGAAGCTGGGCGGCGGCAGGCGACTCTGGCGGGATTGCTGGGAACTGCGGGAGCTCGGCCAAGAGCTCGGCTGTGACTGGGGCAGAGTCACAGGGTTCAGGCCCCAGGAGAAGGGACGTGGAGTGTGGTTGGACTGCGCCTGGATGCGGAAACCGGACTGGGAGGAGGCATGACTGTTGCACGACTGCTTGCAGGGCTGCCGGAAGTGCTGCTGCCGGAACGCAGGGTGAAGTGCTGAGGCTGAGTGGCGTCGTTCATGCCGTTGGCGGACCGAACGTCCTGCACCGCTGCGTCCTCGCTGCCCCTGCTGAGGCCGGAAGACCCTGTTCTGCAAGAAGATGCAACAATCGCCTGTCCACTCCGCAGACGCGTCCCTCAGGCAAGCTCGCAACGCGTTGCTGGACCAAGCGCGAATCATCGCTCGAATCTCTCGCGCTGGATCTTTTCTTCTGGGCGTGCTCGCGCACAGCAGAAACGCACGATCCACGGCTTTCCTGCCACGCGCGCCTGTGCAGTCGAAACGACGGTTTTTTAGCCCCAACATGCACGGAACGCTGTCATCTTTGCTTTGTAGCATTACACCCACAAAAAGCACGCGTGCAACCCAAAGAAAAGGAGGGTGCTCGAAAAATCTGGCTTCCAATGCAACTGGTGCCGGCGCACATCCCTAAATAGAAAAACGGAGCAGGCCTTCCCGAACTTCTGGTCCAGCAGCTGGCTCACAGCATCAAAATGCCCCACGCGCACCTGGCGCCGACGCAAATCCCAAGAGGCAAACCCGGAGGTTGGAACTGCTCATGAGATTGCGGGTCTTCCAAAAGACAGTCTCACTTCGAGAGAACGATCTTTTGAACCGATTGAGATTTCGAGTAGGGTAAACTTATTTCCCTACGGGGTGTTTGCTCTAACTGAGCACTTACAATTTAAAACCAGAAGCACAAGAGGAGTCACAGCGGGCACCGTCAGGTGCAAGTGTCAGACATAAATGGGCATGTTTCAAACACACACGCACACGCACTCACCAAACAGACAACCCCTCTCTCAAGCGGTGGCACCTTGCGGCCTAGGGCGTGGCCCTAGCAAGAAATTTTTGGAACTTTGCTCTTCCTCCAAGCTTTCAGCAAAACCGCCTGTACCCTCAGTAAAGGACCCTTCCAAACCATCGTCATCAAATTCGGGAAAATTAAAATTCACCTCCATATCCATGGCAAAACCCCCCGCTTTCGCTTTAGGTCATTTGAAATTTTCTACAGGCACCCAACCACTTCTCCCTTTGTGCCACCTGCTCATATACAAACCAAATGACCATGTTCCACGCGCGGAACAGAACAGTGAAGATCGAGATCCGGAATGCTTGAGTCATTGAGCCAAAGTGGCAGGGGCCATTTTGGTCAAGCATTCCACACACAGGCCATGTTTGCACATGCGTTTCAACATAAGCACAGTAGCCTGCGCAGAGACTGAGCGCAGCGCAGTGAGAAAGGGATGCGCCGCGCTGTGTTCTGGCTGCTCTGCCTTACGCCAAGTGGTGGCGAGGCTGGCGGCGCTTGCACGAAGAAAGCGCCGTCCCGGCGCTGCTGCAAAGCATCGGGCCGGCGTGGCGTGGACGACTCATCCAAGCAACGGTTCTGGTTGCTGCTGTGCGCATGCGGATACGGCGGGTGCCCCCACAGGTACATGATCCACATGATCCAGAACTGCTGGCCGTGGCTAAATAACATGGCTGGGTGGAAAAGCCGCGCTTGCCGGAACTTGTGGCGATAGCATGAACGCACCGAGGCGGCAAAGCGCAAGCGCGGGGAACATCGCGGAAAGCAGCGCGCCCGCCCTGTGCGTCTGCTTTCTGGATTTGTCTGTATACAATGGACACGACATCATGTTTGCTTGTCATGTCTCTGCTTTGTGAGATATCTGAACGCCAAGATCGTGATGCTCTTTATGCGCGAACAAAGCGCAGGGGCGACCCTTGCAAGCAACGACAGCTACAGCAAACACGCTCCAGGCAAACGCTGCCGTTGCGTAGTGTAGTGCTTTACTTGACAGATGGCAAAAGCCCTAACTCCGTTGTAAGGCACCGGGACGGCGCATCAGCCAACGATATGCCAGCAAAGCTCGACATGGAATCCGAAACGCGCTCCAGCCGTGTTTCCACGGAAAGCTAACCAGCAATTGGGGTGGAGCGCCGGGCCGGCCCAGCGGCCTACGAATGGACGGCAGGGGTTGCGGTCGCAGCGCCGCGCACATGCGTGGGAAAGGGGCAAGAACAAATCTGGTATTTGCATATCTTTGTGCAGCCGGTTGCCGTGGAGCTCCGTAACATTCATTTTTCTGTTACCTTGTTCTTCTCCTAATCTGAGTCTTTCTCTAAATCAGTATCCTAATCCTTCTCCTTCTCCTCTTGGTGCTTTTTCTTTTTCTTCTTTTTAATATTACTGTGCTTATTTTCTTCTTCTTCTTTGAGTTCTTCTTTTCTCCTGCTTATTCTTTATACGTTTTGTTCTCAAACCTGTTGGGTTAAGGTTGCCAGTCCACCTGTTCTCGTTTGCTGGGGTTGCTGCTGCATGCGCGTAGGTACAAGATGTGCTCCCACAGATTTCAAATTGAACATCATATGCGTCAATATGCTGCAGCAGCAAGCAACCCTGCTGGCCCTGGCCATACTCATCATCAAGCTGGCAGCCCAGCGATGGACACAAATAAGCTGGCTGGGCGGAAAAGCCACGCTTGCGGAACCTGTCGCGACAGCTTGACCACGCCGAGGCGGCAAAGCGCAAGCCCGCGGAAAGCAACGCGCCCTTCCTGTGCGTCTGTTTCTTGAGTTGCCTGCGAAGAATGGACACGTCATCGTGTTTGCTTGTCCCGTCCCTGCAAGAGATTTCTAAACACCCAAATCGTGCTTTTATGCACGAACAAAGCGCCGGGCCGGCGCAGCCTGGGCGACCCTTGCAAGCAACGACAGCTACGCAAACACGCTCCAGGCGTGGCGTTGTTTACTGCTTTACTTGGTGGCAAAAGCCTTAACTCCGTTGTAAGGCGCCGGGACAGCGCATCGGCAAACGATATGCCAGCAAAGCTCGGCATGGAATCTGAAGCATGCTCCTGTCGCGCTTGTGCGGAAAGCTTAGCAAATGAGGCGGAGCGCCGGGCCGGCGCAGCGGCCAACTGATGGACGGCAGAGTTGCTGTCGCAAAGCGTCACAGAGCGTGAGCAAATCTGGTATTAGCATATCTTTGTGCTGCCGGTTGCCGCGCAGCTCCTTCACGTTCAACTTTTTATGGAATCCTGTGTTTTCGCCTGATCTTTGTCTAAACCATTATCCTTATCCTTCTCCTCCTGAGTCTTCTGTTCTTCTAATTCTTCGAAATATTCTTCTTTTCTCCTGCTTATTCTTTATACGTTTTGTTGTCAAACCTGCTGGGCTAAGGTTGCCCGTCCACCTGTTCGGGGTTGCTGCTGCATGCGCGTAGGTACAACAGGTGCCCCCACAGATTTCAAATTGAACATCATATGCGTCAATATGCTGCAGCAGCAAGCAACCACTCTGGCCCTTGCCATACTCATCAACAAGCTGGCAGCCCAACGATGGACACAGATAAACGCTTGCGGAACCTGTCGCGACAGCTTGACCACGCCACGGCGGCAAAGCAGGGATGCGCCGCGCCGTGTTCTGGCTCCTCTGCCTTACGCCAAGTGGTGGCGAGGCTGGCGGCGCTTGCGCGAAGAAAGCGCCGTCCCGGCTCTGCTGCAAAGCATCGGGCCGGCGTGGCGTGGACGACTCACCCAAGCAACGGCTCTGGTTGCTGCTGTGCGCACGTGGATACGGCGGGTGCCCCCACAGGTACATGATCCACATGATCCAGAACTGCTGGCCGTGGCTATATTTCTGGTAGGCGAGTGATGGACACAAGTAACATGGCTGGGTGGAAAAGCCGCGCTTGCCGGAACTTGTGGCGATAGCATGAGCGCACCGAGGCGGCAAAGCGCAAGCTCGGGGAACATCGCGGAAAGCAGCGCGCCCGGCCTGTGCGTCTGCTTTCTGGACTTGTCTGTGTACAATGGACACGACATCATGTTTGCTTGTCGTGTCTCTGCTTTGTGAGATATCTGAACGCCAAGATCGTGATGCTCTTTATGCGCGAACAAAGCGCCGGGGCGACCCTTGCAAGCAACGACAGCTACAGCAAACACGCTCCAGGCAAACGCTGCCGTTGCGTAGTGTAATGCTTTACTTGACAGATGGCAAAAGCCCTAACTCCGTTGTAGCCCCGGCGCATCAGCCAACGATACGCCAGCAAAGCTCGACATGGAATCCGAAACGCGCTCCAGCCGTGTTTCCACGGAAAGCTAACCAGCAATTGGGGTGGAGCGCCGGGCCGGCCCAGCGGACTACGAATGGACGGCAGGGGTTGCGGTCGCAGCGCCGCGCACGTGCGTGGGAAAGGGGCGAGAACAAATCTGGTATTTGCATATCTTTGTGCAGCCGGTTGCCGCGCAGCTCCTTAACATTCATTTTTCTGTTACCTTG